GTAGATGTTTCCATGTGCCTTTAATTCATAGAAGAGATAAGAATATTAACCGACAAGCAACAAAATTATATCCTTTTTAAAATTTTCATTCCTGCATTAAGAGCTCATATTCTGCCCTTTCTGGGGTTCGTATATTTAATCTATGTTCCTACTTTTGTACGTTCACAATAGATAAAGTTCTAATAAAGTGTCTGTTTTCATGAACTGCTCCTCCTTGCTCCCTCTCTGCTCTGAGTCCATCAGCTGCACTCTGTTGAGCCCACACTGTTAGACCCCACGTGGGCCAAGTCTGCTCTGATTGGTCTGCCGATCCGCTCTGTCGTTATTGGTCAGTTGCTCAGCACGCTTCTCGGAAATTTCAACATGAGCTGCAGGGCCACAACGAGCCAATGGGCTTAGATCAGTGATCTCACACTGACACATTTTTATGGAGGGGGGCTAGAACCGAGCGTTACATGCAGCTAATGCTACAGCTAACAGGAGGACGTAGGAGAAGCCGCGTTTCCACAGACTTTGAATTTCTGCACATAGATGTGCCTAAACATGCACAGGACACTTGGAAAACACACTAAAGAGCAGATAAAACCAGAAGAAGAAGACTATGGGACCTTTAAATCTTTCCCATACTTCCCCTGCATTCATCATGTGGAGTCGCATCGGAAAAACAAGTTTCTGAGTTGTAAATGAAACATGAACACGAACAACAACTCGGGAAAGAGATGGATGCCCGACTTGATGTCAAATTTGTCATCAACACGGCGAGCAAAAGACGTTTAGTTGATGTTAAAATACTTTTGATTACACTCAACGTTGTGCTCAAATATAACTCGTAACAGAGACACTCACTCTTACCTTCTTCTTCTTCTTCTTCTGTAAACTGGCGTCATCAGAATTCAAACCTTTTCACTCACCTTCAAATATTTGATTTCCCATCATTTTATTTGAAGATTTTATTTTTTGGATCGTTAATCTGGAACTCTAAAGATTTAAAATGAGAATAAATCAGCAGAGAATTAACGAGTGTTGTAGTCAAGACCAAGACCAGGACATACTCAAGACCAGATTTCTCAGAGACCGAGACGTAGACAAGACCAGAGATTTAGGGCTCGAGACTGAGTCAAGACCACCAAGACCAGGCGTTTTCCATCTTATCACACTGATAAACGTGGGAAGATAGCCGATCAGTGGTGGGCTTGACCGGTCTTCATTTAAAATCCTGAGTCTGCCCAGTCTGAGACAGAGACAAGACAGAGTAACGAGGCTTTGGATTCCAAGACCAGACCTTCAAAGAGTGTTCTCAAGAAGACCCAGACTGATTTTGAGTACTTCAACACTAAACTAAACTTTACAAGCAGGAAATGGTTAGAAGTCCAAGACCATCTAATCAGACTTGAAGGTTTAATCGATGAATCAGCTGACGTGCTTCTTTTATTTAACTTGCATTAAATTTAAATCGTACACCTGGAGCAGCTTGTGGACGTCCTTGAGAAGAGAGACAGCCCGGAGACCCCCCCTCAGTAAACCCGGGTAATCCCCCGTTGTTCCCTCCCCTCTCATGAAGACTTCATTGTGACTTTAATCTGTGCTGGAGGATTAGCGCTGCAGGCACCTGTGGTTGCGTGTCGTCGCAGGGCTTCTGTCCCGTGCGGGGCCTCACATTCGCTTGATTGGATTAATAACTGCAGAGTTCTGTGAGTCAGGTAAAAATAGCCGCGGTGCAGCGCTGTGGTGACGACTTCCTGTTGAGAGCGTCACCTGTTTCCTCTGGGTTAATCTGACGCGGTCTCTGCAGCAGCTGTGGACGGGAGAACTGAAGCCTGCAGCCTTCATCTACAGTTGTGAACAATAACAACGGTGACATCTGTAACTACAACATCAGGTCATTTAACGGTCCTCTGTGATTGGACGATGACATGATCTGGGATCATGGAAAACTGAAGCAGGAGTGTACCTACATTGATCTGTTAGGCTAGCAGACATCCTGCTGCTAGTATTTGTGCTAAACCAAGCGGCAACCTCCTGCGTTGAAAAAAAAAGGGCAAATGCTGAAGTGTAACATCCTGCAGTTCCTTGAGTGTCCACTAGAGGCTGGCTGCAGAAGCACAGGAAGTCACATACACACCCATTCTAAAAAGTCTGTTTTTACAGCAGAGATGAACATGTTTACAGTCTGGTTCAAAAAACCAAATAGGTGTGATTAGCTCATGTCTGGATGGACACACACTGTACGGGGGGTGAATGTTTTGATGACTCATCAGTTTTGATTTGATGAAGGATAAGAGTTATTCACAATAAGGCGTGTAGCTGACCTGATTGACAGGTGGGCACGGTGTAACGGTTTGTCAGGAGGTTTAAAACCCGCCTCAGCTCCAGCTCTCAGCCTGTCGTTAGGTTGACTGAAAGTTAGACTGAGACAGCATTTCCAGCATGGAGACCGCCATCGATGGGACTCCAGCGCCCCCTGCAGGGACAGACGGGGGACGCCATCGATGGGACTCCAGCGCCCCCTGCAGGGACAGACGGGGGACGCCATCGATGGGACTCCAGCGCCCCCTGCAGGAACAGACGGGGGACGCCATCGATGGGACTCCAGCGCCCCCTGCACGAACAAACGGGGGGCGCCATCGATGGGACTCCAGCGCCCCCTGCAGGAAAAAACGGGTGACCTCACTTCGGCATCATCCTGGGTCTTGTTGGTTTTTAACACACCTGGTAAGCATGGTCAGACTGTTCGTTCAGAAACGTGACAATGGAAGAAATACAACAGTTTTTATTTTCAAATATAAACAAACAACACGTTTTATTTAGTAAAAAAAAAGAAAAAGACTTCGAGTATTTTCATGATGCAGTGAGAGAAAAGGTTTGGTAAGTGGCGTGCGTTGGCAGGTCATTATTGAGGTTTGTGGTTTATAAAAACATCATCAAGGTTCAAACTGTGAAGTTAAGGCAGCGCTACTTTCTCCTGTCTCCCGTCTACGGAAACGACCACACGACTAAAACCCAGAGAGAAGTTCGAGGGGCACAAACTGTGAGGGCTAAAACATCTGAGTTAGCGTTTAGCCACGTAGCGGAGTCAAGCTAACGTAGAGATCGCGTAAGTTAATGTTAACGTCGTACTTTAATCCGTCCTGACGGCGTTCTGAGTCTTAACATTTTCCATGTCGGTTTCAGTTTGTGAAGTTATGAAATATTTCTGCTGTGTCAAACGTCAGTTAACGATTTGTAAACAACTTCAGATTTTAAGCACAATTAATAACTACTCGTTCTAGATCTTAGATTTCCACAAACTCCGAGCGTGCTGCGGTCCGTCCTGCGCAGCACACACGCCACCATTTGCTGCCACTCCAGTCAATGATTGTGTTTCTGAATCATGTGATGCGTCTCCGCAAGCTGCAAGCTGGACAGAATAGAACGACCCGGAGAGGAAGTTGCACAAAGTGTCTGGTCACTTTCAAAATAAAACCCCAACATTCAGACTCCTGATCGTATTTTCCATCTCTTTATCAACAAGACATCAAAACAGTCTCCGAATGAACAACAGACAAAAAGACATGTGTGAACGTTGCGCTGGTGGCACGCTCCAGAGACGGACGCGGCGCTCGCTGTGGAAACAGGAGCATTGACTAGAGTGGCAGCAAACGGCGGCGTTGTAGTGCACGGAGCTGACGGGCCACACGTGCACGGACTTTGTGGAAACTGGGGGTCATGGATACAAACCTAAATTAATCAGCTGCAGCTTTTGGACAGCAGCATCTCTTCATGGGATCGCTGCAAGCTTGGCAGAATAGAACGACCCGGACAGGAAGTCGCACAGAGCGTCTGGTCACTTTCAAAATAAAACATAATATACAGACTGAGGCGCTTGCTGTGGACTGCACATGCACGGACTCTGTTGTCATGGAGACAAACCTAAATGAATCTGCAGCTTTTGGACTGCAGCATCTCTTCAGGGACATAAAGAACTGCGCCTCAGAGATATTAGAATATTTA